CCTGTCTTGGATAATCTCTTTTATACCAATTACAAATCATTCATTTGTTGATCAAATAATTTATTGTCAGTCCATGAAAATAATAGAAATAGTTTGGTGTACTCTGAAGTTTGAGTTTGTGGAAATAATGCACAGGAATGATCATCATAAAGTACAAAATTTCTGACAACAAGAGGATTCATTTGAGTTCTTTGGATACTTCACAGATCTTGCAACCTAAATGATTTAATGCAGGGGTGTCAAACTCGATTTCATTTAGAGCCGCATCAGGGTTGTGTTTGACCAGGGTGAGCATGGCCAGCTTGACATCTTTCATGTTGGGGCTGCCTGTGACATTTTTGCTCTGACAGCAAAAATGGGCTCCCAATCTCTGTTTTCAGCTACAACGTCCTCCTACAGCCCTCTGCCAGCAAAAATGGAGCTCTGTTTTCACCGGCAGAGGGCTACAGGAGGCCATCATGCCCAAAAATGGGGTCTGCAAGGGCTGTGCGGAGCTCTCCCAAACTCTGTTTTCACTGGCAGAGGCACCATGGGCCGGTCCTTTGCTGTTTCCAGGGCTGCCACAAGGGCCAGATCGAAGCACCCCGTGGGCTGGATCCCATTCCGGGCCTTGAGTTTGACACCTGGCTTAGTGGATGGACATATGGTATGAAGATATATCTAAATTGCTTTGGAAACACCATCCCTTTGTGAAACTATTCCTTTTCTGTTGCCTGTTCATATTGTATGCACATATATGTTTGTCTATTATATAAATGGAAGTCTTGGCAGAATTTAATTTTGGAACATAACAGATAATCAGAATTGGAAAGGACCTTGTAGGTCTTCTAATCCAACCCCCTGCCCAAGCAGGAGACCCTACATAATTTCTGACAAATGGGAGTCCAATCTCTTCTTGAAAGTCTCAAGGGATGGCACTCCCACAACTTCTGAGGGCAAGCTGTTCCGTTGGTTGATTGTTCTCACTGTCAGAAAGTTTCTCCTTATTTCCAGGTTAAATCTCTCCTTGTTCAGTTTCCATCCATTATTCCTTGTCTGGCCTTCAGGTGCTTTAGAAAATAGCTTGGCCCCTTCCTCTCTGTGGCAGCCCCTCAGATATTGGAACACTGCTATCATGTTTCCCTTGGTCCTTCTCTTCACTAGACTAGCCATGCCCAGTCCCTGTAACCATTCTTCATATGTTTTAGTTTCCAGTCCCCTAATCATCCTGGTTGCTCTTCTCTGTACTTTTTCTAGAGCCTCAACATCCTGGTGACCAAAACTGGATGCAGTACTCTAGGTGTGATCTTACTAAGGCTTTATAGAGTGCTATTAGAACCTCACTTGATCTTGATTGTATCCCTCTATTAATGCAACTTAGGATTGCATTAGTTTTTTTGGCTGCTGCTGCACACTGCTGGCTCATATTTAGCTGGTTGTCCACTAAGACTCCAAGATCCCTCTCACAGTTACTGCTATTGGGCCTGGTTTCACCAGTCTATATGTATACTTCTGGTTTTTCTTGCCTAAGTGTAGGACTTTATTTTTCTCTACATTGAATTTCATTTTGTTAAATAGGGCCCAGTGTTCTAGTCTGTCAAGATCCATATGTTGGTATAGTATACTAATTTATAATAACATATGTTGGTCCAATATACTAATTTAAATGATGTACTGAAGATAAAGAATGATACGTCATTTATACATATAGCATCAAAACTATACAATCTTGTCTTCTTAAAATACCACTTTCCATTCTCCTTTACCTGCGAACTTTTAAAAATTTAACATTCAATTCAGGATGATATTTACTTGACAGGTGAGAAGATAAAATACAGATAGTCCTCAAGTTATGACCACAATTGGGACCATAATTTCCATTGTTGAGTCACACCTCATTTTATGGCCTTTCTCCCCATAGTTGTTAAGTGAATTACATGCTCATTAAGTGAACCCAGCTTTCCCATTGATTTTGCATGTGAGAAGCTGGTTGGAAACTGTTGTAAATACATGCTGGCTACCATATGCCCAAATTTGGATCACATCACTATGGGGATGCCGTATTGATCATAAGTGTGAAAACTGATTGCAAGTCACTTTTTGTGTGCTGTTGTATCTTTGTGTTGAAATTATGTTTTACCGACAAAGAAAATCAAGAGAGACTAAGTATAGATCTATTTCAAGCTATTTAGCTCTCATCAGCTAGCCATACCCTTCCTGGGATTTGGACTCTGGTTTGTCATGAAAGCGACTGTTTGCGAAGGCCCCTGGATTGGGGCTGAAAGGCGAAAGCAGAAGCAGTATGTTCCATCCCATAATTGGGTAGACCAGGTTGCCCTGATATACAGTTCTCAACCGGGGAAAAAACAACAACAACACTTGTAACTTTAAGCAGTCATTAAATGATTGTAAATCAAGGACTACATTTGTACTATTTTTAGTAGCAGCTTAAAAAAAAGAAAATGCCCATTAGAAATGGAATTGAATCAGGTTTTTTTATTTAAGATATAGGATCAGCAATTGAATAATTGGAAACTGATTAAAATGTGTTGATATCAACTAGAATATAAATTAGGATAACACAGAAGTGTTTGATCATACTTGAAGACAAAACTCTAATTTTAGATGCTAGAAGATTGCTAGTTATTTCTAGTGCATTTTTATATATATAGAATACAATGGTTCTGTGTTGTTTTCAGCCATGTATATTCACTCTCAAAATGTGTTTTTGCTTGGAAATTCTGAGCCAAAATGCAGTTTATGTATTCATAAACCTGTCTGATTTATTTCACTTGTATCTGATCATAAATAAGCGTATTAAGACCTGTGACTGTTGCAAGTCTGCATATACCTTTTTGCTGATTCATAACATATGCTTTCTGGGAGCAATCTTGATTTATTTCTGGAAGATGCAGTTCAATACTAAAACTAGAATGCTGTTATGCTGCTTGTTTTCAAAAGCCATACATAACACTGTAAACATGGTTTTTCCAAATCAAATATTATGATAATATAGGCTGTAGTCCAGAGAATTGCTAGCTCAGTAAAAGACTTGAGCGCCTACTTAGCATCCATAGATAAACACAGCAAAAATTTGGAGGTTGACATGGATTTATATATTAACTGGTTTGTTTAGTGTATTTTGTCTCCCAATATATCAGAACCAACTACGAAACCATATATAAGTCTGCATACAAAAGTCTGATTAAGAAAGTAACAACTTTTTAATGATTGCAAAATTGAAAAGCGTCTGAACAAAGTAAGTGTTATGCATCAAGACACAATAATCTATTGTTAGTGATTACGTCTATAGATTGTCTCCATTATTATCTGTCCCTTATCTGGTCTTTCAAGTCTTCAGCAAACTTATTGTTCCTATAACTAAGTTCATCCAACGCAGCTGGTCATCTTTCTCTTTCTTTTCCTTTCATATTTCTTAATATTAGAGCCTTCTTCAAAGAGCTAACCTTAATAGAATATAATTTAAGAGAGATCAGTGCATTAATGCCACCTGCTATATCCCATTGTTATATATGATGCCCATATATAACTTACTTTATCAATTTAGTTGGTAAAATATGATGGTTACGGCTTCTGTAATTGTTTTTTACACAGCTGTAGCAAATCACCTATTTTTAAGGGATCAGCACATTTTTAGATTATCTTAGGGTGCAGTGATAAAATTAATTCCAAGGGGACACTTGCTATAGGCAATATTGTTGCTATGGTGAGCATGGCCAGTTATAAAAATGGCCCTCTCCCAGTACACAAATCTTATCTCTTTGCCTCCCCCAAGAAACTCATTCTCATCCTAGGAATTGCTGCAAATATAATTCAAGAGGCTCTTGGGTTTTCTCTCTACATAAATTCAGCTAATAAAAGAACTAGCAAAAACAAAACAAAACTAGATAACATCAAGAACCTGGTAGTTATCTTGGGATATGTTGGTACTCACAGACACATCCTTTTCTATCCCTTGTTAGTCACGATTTAGTTGGAATTGTAAATTGAGTAATCTATGAGGTTGCTCAATTTTCGTGCATAGTTAGATAAAGCAAGGCTGGATAGTTCAAGTCCTCAGCTCAGCAAAACCAAACTGATGATGATTTGAATTGTGTGATAAATTAGAAAATTCTGAAAACAAACAGTACATGAGGAAGAGAGTAATTGCTTGCGTACATAAGGTACTATATCAAAATAGCAAAATCTTGGAGTTGGATCATTTAAAATAGCACGTCAGCTTTGGTGCAATTGACCTTATCCCATTTTATATCAACTTAAAAGCTTGAGCTTGGGGGCAGGAGGAATATTTTCAAAATACATTATTAGACTTTAGAAATATCACCATTACTACGGGAATACAATTTCAAAGGGAAACTAAAACAAGAGCAAACACAGCAGTCATCCCATTAGCTAGAAATTCTTGCATTAACAAGGACATTTTTGAGTGCCATTCAACAGGCAGGAAAATAATCCTCCTGAAACTTTATAAAATCTCGTCCCACTTAACAGGACCAAAAGAAATGACATACATCTAGAATAGCAATTATACAGCAAAATGCTTTTAAAAGCAAGTATATCGGGATTTTAAGAATACTTTAAAAGGAGCTCAGTTTGCAAAGTTTACTGGGAAGCTTTTAGTAAACCGCTACTAGGCATGTATTGTAAGTGAAACAACATTTTGAACAATTAGGAGTAAAACATAAAAATAGTAGTGACTTCTGTCTAGATGAGTTTTTATTAATATGGTACTTTGAAAAATATTTGTATGCAAGTTTCCTGCTTTAGTAACTTACAATAAGGAGCACAAAAATTATAGAAAAAATTATTGTACTCTGGCCCTATTTTATTTGGAGTAGTTTTCAGTGATTAAGGCACTAGACTAGAAGCTGGGAGGCTATGAGTTCTAATTCTGCCTTAGACATGAAACCAGCTGCATGACTTTGGGCCTGTCATTCTCTTTCAACCCTATGAAGAAAAAGAAGGAAGTAAGGGCAAGCCGTTTCTGAAATCTTACCAAGAAAACTGCAGGGACTACTCTAGGCAGTTGCAGGACTCAAGACTGACTTGAAGACACACACACACACACACACACACACACACACACACACACACAAATAACCTATCCATTCCCATATGGAACTTGTTCATCCTATGTTAAACAAATCTCCAAGCAGGTTCCCATTGATTTTTACATAGCATATGGCAGTATTTTACCACAGTTAAACATGGAATTCTCTTGGAATTTAAATGAAGCCTTGGAAGCATTTACATATATACCTGTTGGCAGCCTGAAAAAAGATTATAAAACCATTAACTTCACATCATAGTTATGTGAATTTTGCTGAAATTCTAGTTTTGTTTGAGAAACACCCCCCCCCCCCCATAAATTAAATCCCTGATGATAAAATGAAAAGACAACTGTTGGAAAAATACAGAAAAACATATTTTCCTGCTTCCTTATCCTAGGAAGCAGGTTCTTGGTTCCTTTATATATGATCATGTGTAATTCAGTCTGAGTAGACCAAGAAAAAAAGTAGAGGAAGTTGGAAAAGCAATTTGGTGAAGTCTTTGTTATTTGAAGCTACATCAAAAAATAGATTCGGTTGCACAGGCAACTGTTTTATGTTTATTCAGTAATTAATCCCCTAACATGGGAAAGTGCAGCTTTTATCGGAATAGTTCTAAAGAAGCAGTTGAGGATGTAGAATATATTTTCACAGAGTTAGTATCACATTTTTAAAAAGTGGTTGATTAGGTAATTGGAAGCAGGCAAAATAATATTCAACATAAGTTAAGGCAAGAAGACAATGGTGATAGAGTGAAGTTTTGTTCTACCAACCATTGCATACAAATCAGACACTAACCACACGTAACCATTATATGGTCATCTTGTAACAGCTTTCTCTTACTAACTGGACAAAACATGTGATTCTTTTTCAGGTGTATTAATTTCTTCCAAACATCTTTTCTCCAAAGTGTATCTATTTTGAATGTTTGGAAAAATAGGACTTTCATCCTCAAATGTTAATTATATAAAATGCTACCGTGTTTCTCATAAAATAAGGCCGGGTCTTATATTTTTTTGAGCCCCGAAAAAACGGCTAGGCCGTCTTTTTTGGGCTGACTTAATTCCCCCCCTTGCATTCTCATCTAGAGCGCCCAGCGGGCAGCCTCGCCACCAGCTGCTCCTAACGGGTGATCATGGCGAAGCGCAGAGAGCTTCCTACTCCCACCAAACACCTTTGCTGCAGACCCAAGACCTTTGGCACCTGCCGCTGTTGCTTTCCCTTCTGCCCATTCCCCCGCCACGTTTGGAGCTGCCGCTTCCGTGTTTGGAGTGCCGCTGCCACTTGGAGTGCCGCCACCATTTGGAGCACCGCCGCCACGTTTGGAGCTGCCGCTTCCTTGTTTGGAGTGCCACCACCATTTGGAGCACCGCCACCATTTGGAGCACCGCTGTCATGTTTGGAGCTGTCACTTCCGCGTTTGGAGCTGCTGCCGTGTTTGGAGTGGAAGCGGTGCTCCAAATGGCGGTGGTGCTCCAAACAGTGGCAGTGCTCCAAACGCAGAAGTGGCAGCTCCAAATACGAAAGTGGCAGCTCCAAACAGCAGCAGTGCTCCAAACAGTGGCAGCGCTCCAAACATGGAAGTGGCAGCTCCAAACGCAGCAGCAACTCCAAATGCAGAAGCGGCAGCTCCAAACGGCAGTGGTGCTCCAAACAGCAGTGGTGCTCCAAACATGGAAGTGGCAGCTCCAAACATGGCGGCGGCATGGGCAGAAGGGAAATCAACAGCGGCGGGTGCTGAAGGTCTTGGGTCTGCCGCAAAGGTGCTTGGCAGGAGTAGGGAGCTCTCCGCGCTCTGCCATGATCGCCCATTAGGAGCAGCTGGTGGCGAGGAATTGCTACCCGCGGGGCGCTCCTAACGGCATGTCCCCCCACCCTTCCCCCCATTTTGTATGTTTTAAAATAGGCCTAAATTTGGAGGGAGGGGCTTAATTTCAGTTTAGGCCTAGAAAACATGCTGGGTCTTCCTATTGGGGGAAGTCGTATTGTTGGAGAAACATGGTAATTATACAGCGAGCACAGCATTGTTTTTGGTAAAACATAGCTACTATCTTAAGAGTTTGACAAAAATAAATCCTTTTTGTTGGAGTTTGTTTGATTTTCAATCTCCAGTTGAGGAAGTATTAACTTTAGAAAAATAGCAAAATCTGAATTTAATTATTCAACATGAGTCAGGGAAGTAACTTCTAAAGATCAGCAAAACACATTAAATCTTACATATTATGTTATTTCAGGCAAAGAGAAAGAAGAGAAAGAAAGGGGACATTATTCAAACTGGTCCTTTTTGTAAACACAGAGGTATATAATTACCGGTGGGGTCTTGCATGCCTTGTTTCCATACTACTAGTAGTTTGTTATCAAATGATGGAATCTTTCTTGTCTTGACATAAAACAGAGGAAGTGGTTAGGAGACAAGCCTGTAATTATCAGCGGCAAGTGTCTGTAATAGAATGCCACAGGGGTTTCAAAAGACAAACATTGCTTCAGTAGAAACTTCAACATTGTCAAAGAAACCACAAGACCTCAAAGTAATGGGGAGTAAGGATTTAAGATTTTGCTGAAATTGTACCAAAACCAATATCTAAAAGAAAGCCTCTGAATTAGTCAGGTAGTTTTCACGAGGCTGCACATTTCAATAAATCTATTCAGTCAAGTTTACAAATGAACTGGCAGATTAATAAGAAAAAACTTCAGGGCTTCTTTATATATCCCTGAGCTTCTACTTAATTCTTGGAAGGTTTGCAGTCTGCAATCATAAATCTGAATATTATGCAGTGCATTGTATCAATTGAACCTGTGAATTAGGACAGATAAGTTTTATTTAGCAAGTTGAATTCATCCTACCTGATACATTTGGCGTAGCTCACCATAGGGTTGTACATTACTTCTTTACCTGTCTTCTGAAATAATTTATTGAGAGCATGCAGCTCAGGGATATACTGTATAAACATGCCCTATAACTTCCTGAAGTTCCTAAGAGCCTTATCTGCTTCTTGGATCACTGGTATATGTGATATGAAGCTACCACATTGACATTTTAATATGATAAAAAGGAAAATTATTAAACGCATTGAGAGCATTCATGTTAAATTAATTTAGTGTAATGTTAATTGAATGTTTTTTTTTTTATTAAATCAGATTTAGTTTTTCTGTATGCCTGATATTGAATTTTTGGAGTGCATTATTTTAAGTCAGAGAACACATATCACATTATGCCATAGTTCAGTTTTTTAAAATAATAGTGAGAATGAGGAAGAAAAGGAGGAAGAGGTAAAAGTTAAGTAGTCAGTCAAGAACAAAACAACAAACTGTTTAAAATTAAAAGAGGAGGACCAACAATAAACACAAGCTAAAAGAACAATACAGAATATATTGTCAACATTGTGGTTAACATTGTAAGCTATATATCTAAGACCAAAATCCAGAATGTAATATTTTAATACCGGTATTTTCAAATAACTTGTTCTTTATACTTTTTTGGAGAGCTATAGTTAAAACAAAATACAGCTTACTGTGATGTTTACATCTCTACAGTATATCTTCTGTCAATAAGGTGTTTTCAGCCATCTGATTAACACTTAAGTAGAAGATCATAAGGGCTATAAATTAGATTGGTAAATTACAAATGACCACTGGCAAGGAAATGTAATAAATGTATCTATGAAACCAACAGATACTGAGTTTGACTGGAGGAAATTTTTTACATTATTTATGCCACAATTATTAGGCTAAAATATGTTGTTTAGCAGCACTAGGAGTTAGTAAACAGAAAAATATAAATTAATATCTTACTTTTTTTAAAAAGCAATATCAATAAGACCTTTAGAATTTGTATCTTTAATATGAACTGTGCTTGTTCTTTTCAAATGCACAGGAAAAAGAAAGCACAAAGAAAGCATCCATCAGTTATGTAGAATGCAGAAAAAATGTAGGTAAGGGAATGCAAATATTCCGAAGCTGTTCTTTTTAAAATGTACATGTGGTTTTTCCCCCCTTACATTTATTTTTATTATAATGGTTCTAATGTATTTATTAAAACAAATTGAAAAGACTCCAAAAGATCAGTATCAAAAAGAGAAAGTCAATAATGTAGCTGCCAGCCTAACTTTTTCACATGATAGGATGTACACTAAATATGTACTTGGTGGACTAAAAGTGTTTGAGACCAAAGTATTATCACAACTGTTAAGACTTCCCAAATATGTGTACATTAGACTTTTGAACTCATAAAAGTTGTTCAGTTGAGCTTCTTAAGAAGCTTATTTTTGGTTTCCACTTGTGTTTAACTGTAACTTATAATTGAAATTCTATCAATGGTATTAAAATTCATGCTCACATATCATGTGTTAGCTACTGCCTCAATCTTTAACCCAAGCTATCTGAATTTTTTGATTCTTGAGTTTCTGTGTTTCAACTTCCTTATATGTATATTCCATTTTTTTCCATGTGGTATCAATGAGGTCTCCCATTATTAATCTCAATAATCCTTTGAAGTAGGTTGGGCTGCAAGACAATGATCAGCCAAAATCACCCATGATCCCTTTTGATAAGTATAGCCAATATACTATACAGTTTCATTTGCTTCTTGATATATTTTCTTCCAGTATAAATTCAACTTACTGTGGTTTAGGAAAAGAACCATTGTTAGAAACAGATATATGAAATAGTTTGTTGTTTCTTTCAGTTAAGGCAATCCAGGTTTTAATACAAAGGCATAGGGTCCTACTCTTTTCAACCGTATGTCTGAAATATTGTATTTCTCTTATTTAAGCCTGCTTTACTAGAGCTGGAGCTACTGTATCTGGTCTTCAGTCATTTGGATGACCTGGACATGGAAGCAGAGAGTTTTATATTTGTTCACTCACCTATCTAGTGGTCATCCAAATATTTGCAACCCAATGTGATAAACTTGTGAGCAATCAGCAAACTTAATAATTAAATACATGCTGATTGCTCTATAAAAAAGTAATGAATATATGG